TTCCCTAAATGCCAGTAAGATACTTGGCAGGAAGTTCGAAAGGGGTAGTTTTCCACCACTGTGCAGAGGAGAAGGATTTCCCAGCATGTTGGTTATCACCCCAGATCTCTCTTCTTCTACACCACCACACAAAGACAGCAAAAGCAACTCTTGCACCACATCACCCTTGGCCTTCCTTGCATATCAGGATGGAGGAAAGAGCGTTTGTACATGTGTCAATCTCAGTCTTTCAAAGACTCTTATTCCTCTCTGCAGAGTCAAAAGTCATCTGAGAGATCCACTTCCACACTTGCTTTCCCTGGAAATACCTCCTTCAGGAAAGTGGGCAATGCATGTAAACATGTATGTATGCAGTTCAGCACTGCTAGAACTGCTGTGAAGCCAGTGATACACAGTATTTGATGCTGACAGTTCTGTAGGCATAACTTACACATGGCCGGCACTTAGATGAAAGCTGCTTACACAGATAGGAGACCGAAGTTGGGTAGATTTCAACTGCACAGCTATGCCACCAAGAAAACAGGGGGAGAGCTAGTTTTTTTCCATTTTTGTCTCCTCTTCAAAAAGACCTGTTACCCTTTTCTCTTACAACATATGCACTGATATTTGCAGAGGGCTTGTTCAGCCCTGTAGTTGATAAAGTTGGACTTGCTTCAAGAATGAGGAAAAACAAAACAGAAGAAGCACCCACTCCCATAACACTCTTCCAATAGCACTGAGGTTCACCATCAGCACCATGTACCACAGCTGCTCAGAAACTGGAACTCCTACAAAGGTCCCTTTGGAGGAGGGACACCAGGTACTTCATGGGGAACGTAACTATTGCACTACCTATGGCAGGGATCATCCAACCCTGTTCTCTGTCCTGGGGGATATCCTGCATCTGAAAAACAACATTCCTGCAGATGGGCTGTCTCACTGAATTGGAGATTCACTTCTGAAAAATCTCTTGGTGGGTGGGGTGGCAATGTACGTTCAGACCTAGTGAGTGATGGATGGCAGCATCCAGTCAGGGTCCTGCTTGGTTACTGTTCTAAAGCATGAGAGGAGGCAGTGATTTATGACTACCACTTGGATGAGGGGATTCAGTTATGGCACTGCATGGCCTACGTTCAATAAGAGAAAGTCAGACCAGAAAGCAAATATCTACTTACTACTTACAGATTTACACTAGGAATCAATTAGAAAGAAATAACTCGAGCTACTTTACTTTCCTAATTTTAAGTGTGTGACTGTGGAAGGTTCTGTGCATACTCCTAACTTCCTGGGAACTAAATCCAGAGAGGAAATACAGTTTTGGAAGTCTTGATTTCAACCCCAGGTATGCAGAAAGCATCCAGCTTGATGTGCCTGGTAGCATTTCACTACACTGTATTCAGTTCAATGGTGTGTTGCACCACCCCAGCGCAGGCAGCAGTCAGTTTTCTACAATCTGCTTCCTCTGTGAGCTATAAACCAAGGACTAAACTCATCTCAGTAGGACTTTGTATAATCCTTCAGTGAAAAGGAGCTTTATGAAGGAAAACTGTAATTCCTGTACTTTTCATAGTCCAGGCCTTGGTCCTGAGTAGAGGAGCAAGACACTAATGGCTGTACTACTTCAAGAACTAGAGATTCCCAGCTCTCTAAATAGCAATCTGATAAAGATTATCCTCAAAAATCTTACAGCAGTTGTCTGCCTCTTTTCCCTTCCTAAGAAAACAACAGATCACAAAAACGTGCAACAGACCACCTTCTCAAAATTACTACTGCAGTCATTGCTGATGGATGACTCCCCTGGATTCTATTCATTTTTTATACCCCCACAGTGAAGCCAGTAAGTGATACAGGCTGGACACACACGGTAGATCTCAACAGTGATTTTACTGACGCATGGCTAAGGAGGACCTAGCAGCCACCATGTCATTAGCAAAGGAGAGGTATCTGAACTCACTGGCAAAATAAGAGGCCTGAAGCAGCACACAGCTTTGCCTTCTTCCCTAGACCTTTGCTAGCCCTTGGCATGCCTTTTTTGCGCACCCCTGTGCTTGCAAGCCATGGAGTGCTGGCAAGGACAGAGGAATGGAGAAACCCTGCCGGGGTGCTTGCTTTAATGCAGACGCAATTATCAGAAAGCAGGCCAAGCTCAGAATAGCCTGTCTAGGGAGGCTCAGAGTCTGTGATAAACAGGAAACATGGAGAAATATTTGCATAATAGTTAGAAAGGAAAAAAGCGAAGCTTTCCCTGTCACACAAATGCTGGGTTGTGACACAGGGTCCCAACTACAGCCTGAGTTGCCTCACACCACGGCAGGTTACTGACTGTGCACCACTCCTGCACCTTGGAGCTGGGGGAAGGAGCTGTGTAAAGCTCCGCAGGGCAAATGAAAACATGTTTGCTAACTTGTAACCTTGCAGGTGCCAATTAGAGTTTTTAAAAATCTATGCAGGAGGCTGATTTGACAGGATGCTGCAGCGATTCAGCTAATGACAAAGTGCAACACAGGGACAACACAATCCTTAGACGAATGATGCAAAACTCCAGTTCCCTCTCCTCCATCTCTACTTCACTTTCCCTCTCCCTCATAAAAATTGTATCTCTGGTTTAAGCCCATCTTGTCGGCACAGTTTTCACTGGTGACAAGAGCTCTGCTCTCCTGCCTTCTGACTCACAGAGACACGGGGTGCTAATACACCTAGAAGGCAAGAAGGGCAGGTCAAGGGAGCCTGATAGTTTGTCTCAGTGATGAAGAAAGTATCCTTTCCTCTTGTATTCATTTGCTCAATAACAGTTGGGTCACCCATCACCCATGTGGTGTTGTAAGACCTTGAAAAATGAAGTAGACAGCTGTCTTGTATTACCAGGCTGTATATCATCTACCAAACCTGTGCATGCACTATGCAGCAGTCATTCATAGCAGTGTTTCTCAAGGAACATCTACGCCCAAAAAGCAGGGGGACAGCAGATGATAATTCTCCTTGCATGCTTTGAGGTTCACCAGCAGCATCCCACAAATCTCTCTCTTTCCCCATTGACACCAGTGGCTCCTATATTGCTCAAAACGCTGGCTTGAGAAGGAATTCTGGAGCTACAGAAGTGGAGAAGGGCAATAAAGCCCTGTAGGCTGCAAATGTGTTGCAATGTTTCTCCTACTCACAGTAAAAGGGGGTGGGGGGGGTAGGTTTTCTTGTGAAAATCAAGCTCTCTAATGTTGACTCTGCTCTGCTTTGAAGTAACTAAGGAAATAATTTTCAGAACTTATGGCTGTCCCTCAGTTACTAGAAACTTGGACATGAACTTTCTTTCAGTTCAGAATTACTTGAATTCTTGACTCGGGAAGAACTTCAAAGGATGCAGAGATTTGGATCCTCATCTAACTCCTCAGGCCAGAATTCAGGCTGGAAAGGTTGTACCAAAGCACCTGCTTTCTCCAATGTCTGGCCTGCTGTGCAGTCATTTGCATTTCCATGATGAGAGCACAGAAAGCAGAAAGTAAATCACTGTGGTAATTCACCGAATTGAAGTGGCAAAACCAAAGGTAACAGATAGGGAGAAACTAATCTCAGGTTCTGTGGAAAGTCTGTGT